ACAGAGTAATCGAGTATTCGGTAATTGAGTAATTACCTCGATTAGCATTGATTAGTAAAGTTGGTTAGTTTTGACAAATCGTTTAATCGTCAAAGCCAGATTTGTTTGTTTTCAGTTATCACACTGTTTGAACCTCAAGAGTTAAAGATTTTATAATTGATCTGTTTGGTGTAGTAATTAGTACATGTATCTTAAGTACCCCATGGAACTATCTACAAGGAAGGGGATGTCACGTTCAGTGATGTGTCTGGTGTTTGTGTTCTCTGCGACCAGGTGTGAGTACAGTAGGACCACGAGAATATACGCTACACCATGTAGTCACGTTAATTGCATATCCATCTCTTCCTGCTTATGTTGTATCCAGCACAGTAAATAGAGAACGTTACACATATGTATGTTAATGTGCAAATATTTTGAGTGCACATATGGCGTACTACTTATTAGGCGAAATGTAGGAGTTGTCCCTGTGGTGAAATGTCAGGTAAATTAAGTGCCGCAGGCAGCAGCTATGTACCCATTTCACCCCTGCCCCTACACTGACCTCCGCACTGTACCCACACCATAGATTTCATCGTTCATATTATTTCATCATTATTTCGTTTATCTATATTATTTCTATGCCCCCCACCCACCCCTACCCTTTTAAGAAGAAGTGACCACTGCCTTTTGTTTTGATGAGGGCATTTTAGACTGAAGGGGAGACTGTACCCGAAATTCATCTAAAATCATAAATGTCATTGATTTGTAAGATTTAATGTAATTGCCGTCATTGATATATCGAAAAACCTTATGAACGTTACACTTAATGCACCTTCTATCTATACTTCACCTGCTGAATGCCTGAAAATGACAGTAAAAAACACCCCGTTCTAATGAGTACTTACATTATATTAACTGCGTATATTAACTGTGTATACAGTACTTATACAGTAAACAATGTACACAGTATACACGCAGTTGACATTGCTTTACCAGCACTCTCAAATTAATTGTATGTAAATTGTAATTGTAATTGTATGTAAATTAAATGTACAACTGACTCGCTGGCAACCGAGAAACACCAGCTAACGCCTGAGATCAAAGGCGAATAGAAGCCGAAACCTACCGGCATTTCTGGCGTAACGCACTGCCAGTGCACGTACACGCGCGCTATCGCAGAACATGAAATGCAGAATCCCAACATACATTGCGCGTTACGAATACAACCGCCATTGTTTTATATCATACTTTTAATATTTTACTTGCTTTGAGATATTAGTTTTTAGTGTATACTTTTAAATGTGCTTAGGCCACCCTCAGGGTGATAAACTAACAGCGTGGCAAGTGTTGGGGTTCGAAATCAATAAATGGCGGAATGCATAGACAAAGTTCGTTTTTTTAGTAGTATAGAAGTAAGTGTATCAGGCAGAGTGTGTAGAGGTCAATGAATCAGACAGGGTGTGCAAAAGTAAGTGAATCAGGCAGAGTGTGTAGAGGTCGGTGAATCAGTCAGGGTGTGTAGAAGTAAGTGTATCAGGCAGAGTGTGTATAGGTCAGTGAGTCACGCAGGATATGGAGAAGGGAATCACGCAGAGCGTATATAGATGAGTGAATTACGGTGCGTGTGTAGAAATAAGTGTATCACACACGGTGTATATAGATGAATGAGTTACGGAGCGTGTGTAGAAATGAGTGTAGGCCCCCTACTACACACGGTGTGTATAGATGAGTGAATCACGGTGCGTGGGTAGAAATAAGTGTACCACACACGGTGTGTATAGATGAGTGAATTACGGAGCGTGGGTAGAAATAAGTGTACCACACACGGTGTGTATAGATGAGTGAATTACGGAGCGTGGGTAGAAATAAGTGTACCACACACGGTGTGTATAGATGAGTGAATTACGGAGCGTGTAAAGCAATCAGTGTGTCACGCAGTGTGTGTAGAAATCAGTGAATAGCGTAGGTTGTGTATAAATCTGTGTATCATGCAGGGCGTTTAAAGATAGGTCAGCATATGTTGAGATCAATGAATCACGGAGGATGTGGTAAAAACAGTGAATTACGTAATGCGTGTATAATTCAGTGAATCAAGCAACGCTACATTTGAGGTGAGCGTCGTAAATGTCACACATTAAATCTGTCAAGGGGATTAGTTAGAACAATATACAGTTGCGAGCGTTCTGCACATCTATACTACGTGTGCACATCTACTACGTGTGCCGTCGTCCAGAGAATAAACTGAGGAATAAACGGTACGTCCGCAACATGTAATCGGTCAACTGTCTTCATGTTGTCTTATTCGCCGCTAACCACACGCACATCAGCACACACGCACGTCCACCCCACATGCACATGTGACACATACACACACAAACACACACACACACACACACACACACACACACACACACACACACACACACACACACACACACACACACACACACACACACACACACACACACACACACACGCACTCACACGCACTCACACGCACTCACACGCACTCACATTCTCGCGCTCTCTCTCGCACACACCGACGCACACACGCACACACACACACTTGCCTCAAGGCGTTTACACCTCGACTTCTACGTTTATATAGTACATTTCATTAGGAATTAAAGGAATTATTTCATAAATAACAGTGCACAACTGAGCAAGATATAACGAAATATAGTCTCACCTAATAGCGAACATGTTATTGATTACTCCAATATGCGTTCATGCTGTTGTGGTATATAAAATAGCAAACAATACAGCAACATTCTTTCGTATATAGCAACAATTCGTTTGGAATCGAAAACCACCAGACAAAGTCGCATCTAATTGAGTGACGTAGTGGTTATAGACTGGTACAACCTCTCCATTGCTTAATTCAAGTTTCCATGTCAAAGTGCAGGGACAGTAATCGTGTCAACACTATGTGAACAAACAGATTTCAATCGTTGTATATTTTGGGTGAAAATGAAATGAAAATGAAAATCTAACGATGTACGATTATTCTAAGACATGTTAGCTTTACTTTAGATACTTGTCTTGGTGTTATGCAAGCAATACCAGTAAGTATTGTAGTGGTCGGAAAAATACGAGAACCGTCTGAAAGACTGTTTAAAATCCTTGCTTCAACGTCCAGGTAATGCTTAACTACGGGTGCGTGCTAGCGATGCTAAAATATATTTATATACATGCGCACAGCGTGGTACTACGAGGAGATCGAAGCTTCCCAGGGCCAGGCACTCATAGTGTGACCGCTACCGGTCTACACCTATATACATGCTGTCTAGAGATATTATATGCTGGAATAGCCAGCCTGTCGCTCACTCGAGTATGGTGGTCCAGATGGTTACGGACTTTTTCACCAGTTGTTGGCTATTTTTTAACTCATTTTAACACATTAATTTTCATTTCAACCCCATTTCCATCTCAGAATTATTTTTATTTCAAACTGTTTTTCATTTATTAAAAATTAAGCATAAATGATCAATAATAATAATAAATTTATACGTATATAAATATATAATAAATATAAATCTAATCAAATAAATGTAAATCAATAAATATTTTAAAATATAAATGTAATAAATTTAATTCATTATAACAAATCATGAATCATAGATTAAAAGCCTCGAAGTGGCATTCCCTAATCACGGAGCTTGGTTGTACGCCCTGCCACGGAGACCCTGCGAACTGCTGTGCTGCTGATTAAATAGGCAGCGACTCCCGGTCGCAGGTTCTAGCTTTACAATGGTTGTTGAGAAGCAGCTGTACTTAGTAGAGAGAGAGCCACTACCATCTGTTCATTTATATAGATGTTCAATGTGTTTATTTGCGATTTTCGTTATAGTTTTCTTTTACATAATAAGTATGGGCCATTCCATCTTCAGTAATGGGGCGCCATAAAAGAACCAACAAGGACGTAAAACATTCGGGTAGTCTAGAGATCACTCTCAATGTCAGCAAAGAGGTCGGCTTGGGGGTAGTACCATAGAGTTATCACCTAAACGTAAATGAGACTCCCAACTTCCCAACTACACGGCTACGTTGATAGACTGTGACCAAGTGCTGATACATGCTGATTCAGATGCAGATACCAGACATTGCCAGCATACTCGTGCATATACTCACGCATGCTGTGTTAGCCTGCGCATTAACCGATTTCAGGCATTGTACGTAATTCCAGCAAATAAAATTGTAGAAGCTGCGTCGTCTTTTTCCGTGAGTGGAACACCGGGCAGGTCTTCGGTGAAGGTCAACACCGTGGTATGGTTGATGTTTTCCCTCGTGATGTCATTTACTACACACACACACACACGCACGCACGCACGCACACACACACACACACACACACACACACACACATGAGTGGAACACCGGGCAGGTCTTCGGTGAAGGTCAACACCGTGGTATGGTTGATGTTTTCCCTCGTGATGTCATTTACTACACACACACACACACACACACACGCACACACACACACACACACACACACACACACACACACACACACACACACACACACAGGATGGCGGCGGGCGATCGAATTTTGCGCATACTATATTATGTCGATAACATGAATATAATATATGAGTGTGTGTTTTGCGTGCGCATTCGTGCATGCGTGCGCGTGTGTGCATGCGTGCGCGTGTGTGCATGCGTGAGCGTGTGTGCCTGCGTGCTCGTGTGTGCGTGCGTGCGCGTGTGTTAATGTTTGCGTTGATTTAATTACATTATAACGGTTGATGTTATTAATGTAAATCCTACTTTAGTATTTAAATCACACGGAAAATCTGAGATAACAACATTAATGAAAAGATCATTCATCGTCTTAAAATTACCCCAATTTATTTTGTTACACGCATTTAGTATAAAATTTATTCATAACAAAAAATATTCTTTACACGCAAGCGTTTCGAGTATATAATGGAAGCGTAGATGGCCATGTTTTCACGATTTTATATTTACAAATTGCCATAGGAAAGTTGTATGCCATTAGGAAGTTCTGTGTGAATATACGTTTATTTGCTTTGATTACATTCCTCGTTCTCCTCGAGAGCTTGACGGAAGGACTCGATACTGACAAGTCCACTAGGATGCTTCGCAGTTGCCTTTCCCCACAGTTCTTCGAAGACCTCCTGAGACATCTTCGTCAGATTTGTGAACACTTGCCGAATGGCTTCCTTGGGTCGTGGCGTGAACACATCGCGAGGCATCAGCCCGTAGCTGGATAACATGTTGGGGTTTAGCAATCCGGACGCATCCGGCTCTTCGCCGTAGTTCTTCGTGTCGGAAATCTTTTTCGCGTTCGGAACCGGTAAGTCGGACCGGATCGTTGGAACGCCGTACTTCCGGTAGCCGGACGTATCGACGGCGCCGGCGACGGCGGCGATGTCCGACGACGACGTGCGATAGTCCTCGATGGCTTTGTCGATCTGCTTCTGCAGCGTCGGAATGCGCTCGTTCGTCTCCGCGAGATCCGACGACGGTAGCATGTCCTTCCAGTTGAGAAAGTTCGCGAACTCGTTGTAGTCGATGCGACCGTCGGCGTTCGTGTCGCACCACTGCATCAGCAGACGCAACATTTCGTCGCTCAGCGTCAGGTTGAAGCGCTCGCACATCTTGCGCAGCCCGTCGGCGTCGATCGCGTCGGTGGCGCCATCGCGCGGACAGCGTCCGAACGCGTGCGCGAGAGTCGGAAAGTTGTGGTAGTTGGCCTTCTTCAGCTGCTGCCGAATCGCCGCCAGCATGCCGCGCTGTTTGTCGGTGTTGCGCTGGCAAGCGGGAGCGGCGCGCGCGTGGATCAGGTCGCCGGCGTCGTACTGGTCGCGGCGGCAGCGCACGCCGAACGCCTGCTCGTCACCGACCTTCAGCGTGTCCTTGAGCGGCGAGTAGACGCGCGCGAGCTGTGGCTGCGTGCGCTCGCGAAACTCGTCGAGCCGCTTCGATATGATGTTGCCGTCGGCGTCGTCGTTCCACTGCAGCGTCTGTCGCACGTTCCGGCCGGCGTTGTCGTGCGGCGTCGCTATGCCGAATGTCGTCGCTCGCACGGCGCTCCAGTCGTACTTGCGGTCGACCGACTCGCCGACGCCGAAGTTGCGGTGCGTCAGTCGGTACAGCTCGCGACCCTGCTCGTACTCGGCGTCGACCTGCCGCGGCGACTTAGCGGGGTTCACTATCACGCCCGCGTCGTCCTTGATGCGCTGCGGGCTGCCGAAGACGGTCGCGTCCGACGTGTCGTAGCACGGAGCGTCGGGCGCTTGGTGGCGCGACCTGCCGAGCGGCGCCTGCCGGTGGCTGGCGTACATGCGCTCTCGCCTCTCGTCGAGCTGGGCTTGCATCAGCGTCGCGGGCGCCGGCGTGACGAGCTCGGACGCCATGATGGAGAAGTTGGTGCTGACGCCGTGCGTCAGATCGGCCGCCCGCCGCCGGTCCGAATCGTGCGCCCTGCCGTGATACACCCGGATCTGTCCCGGTTCCGGATTCAGCGAAGCTCGGTGTCTTCGTACGGCTTCGGGTATTTCGGAGGCGTTTCCGAGAGATTGCAAGCAGTCTTTGACCGATGAGTGATCCGTTAACGCCATGGCGTCGGCTGATGCGTGGCCTGATGTCTGCGCGTTACTGATATCATTCGTGGTTATTTACGAGATGTAATTGTGTTATGTTTGCAGGAGCGCCGCCGAAAGCAGGCAGTTTGTTTATCCACTGCAAATTCGTACTATGCGGTGTGTCTTCGAACTGGCGTTGCCAGGCACCAGGATTATTGTTAAACACGTCAATGTATTGTTCCATGTATTGTTTAAATCCTTACACTCACTTAAGCTGTGTTCACACTATAGATTTTTGTCAGCAAATCGTCCCGATTTCAAGTGCATTCCAACTTGCCCCCGACTTGATCAAAGTGCATTCCAAGAAATTTGATTGTGTTGGAGTCGGAGTCGGAGTCAAGTCGCCAAGTTGGAGAAATAGAACGTGTTCTATTTCTCCAACTCGGCCCGACTCCGACTCCAATACAATCGAATTTCAGTCGATTGTGTTGGAATGCACTTGAAATCGGTACGATTTGCTGACAAAAATCGATAGTGTAAACGCAGCATAATGCAGTATTATTAAGCAGTAATTAGTGTGCGCAGCATAATTAGTGTGCATCGACATGCGACTTTGCAACTTTTTAACTCACAAGTGCGCGTTCGGTTCGTTTTTCACATTCGCTAGTTGTTAGGCTATTTTCACAAATATTATAACAACTAAAGGAATAATAGAAAGGTAAAAACACTATCAAAATCGACAGAGATTTAAGCGCGGATCTCGATGGCATTTGGGACGGACAGGCGAGGCGCGCTGTTGTGTGGCGCTAATAAAAATGAACGAATTAATGCAAGTAACGGTTTACGTACCGAAGCAACACTAGCGGAGATTACACCTAAACACATTTAACACAGCTATAAACATGACATATAGCAAACATCGTTGTTGTTCTCATACTTAGTCCATTCTATACATTATTTTTAGGCTTCATATTCTCGCATCCTCTACCTTCTCTCCCTCCCCTAGTTTCTTCCTTCTTTTACAACCTTTGCTTATCCCACCTTCCCTCCTCATCTACCTCTTCCCTTCCTTTAGCTCTACCCTTGCTGTACCTATTTCACCTTCTTTCCTCCGACATCCTTTCCTTCTTTTACATTTCCTATGTATATTCCCACCTCCTCCACCTCCGCCACTGCCTCCATCTCTCCCTTCTCTACCCGTTCCTCTACTTTATCCATGTTCTCCAGCTTCTCTTTTAAATTTCGATACAGCACGCTCTGGAATTTCTGTTACGTATTCGTATATGCCTACAGGTATCCGAGACGGTGACGCAGTCAGCGTCGTTTACGCAAACCAATGTCATTATCAAAGTGTTATGTAAGCGTGTATTGCTTGAAATGCTATGCAAATAATAAAACATGGATACTCGACATCCATGGTTAGAAACCCCATCCATGGAGAGGAATTATTGTGATAAAATGAAGTAGAAGCAGAATGAAAATTAGAGTAGGAACAGACTCATAAACTATGAAGTGACTACTCAAACTGTCTGTAATGTTTTAATCGAAACGCAATTGAATTTCCTATTCATGTATATGGGGAATGGCTAGAATTTTCCATTTTAAAAAGCACTGTAAATTTTTCAATAAAAATCTCACACACGGTATAATATATGTTATAGAATTCGGATATACATATATAGAGTACCGGCATTATCTTTTTATATTGGTCTGTGAAAAGTAGAGGTTGTTTAATCATTAGAAGTACAATCCGTAAGCAAGGCGCTCACGTCTCTATGATTGACCTAGAAATATAACTTGGCAGCTGAGGCATTAAAGGAATTGCTTTCCCGACCCTATCCTTTACTATATGGAATGATCTAATATCCGGTATTTTTTAAACTAATATCTAATATGATAATAACTAATATCTGACAAAGATTACAGTGTTTCATTTTTTTTAGTAAATAGTAGGCCGTGGCTACACGTCCGGTTACCGGACGCGCAGCTCCCAGGCTATGCGTCCGGTCATATATTTCTTATGTGAACCCAACTATATTTTTTTCAGTAAAAAACAATAAGCAATCAGTTTTACCATAATATTACTTACCTTTAGGTATTTCATCAAAAAAATGTGTTTTTGTAATTTTGAAGCAATAGTAAATCCAGAAAAATCTACGATTTGAAAGGGGGCGTGGCCTAATCGTGACTTTAATTTGGGAATCACCAATCAGCTTTATAATGGATGACCGGACGCGTAGCCACTGTGTAAATAATATTTATTAATAATAATATTTATTGATTTATGTTGCGCACGTTACATGCAAATATGTTCACGCGCGCATTACAAAGGCTGATTATAAAACAGCGGACTGCAACACTGTAAAATATAGATACTTAAATTACGACAATCCTGTAACATTTCCTGATTATAAAATAGCGGACTGCAACATTGTAAAATATAGATGCTAAGAAACGACAATCATATGACATTTCCAATAAATAGAACTCAAATCAAATGTACACCTAAAAATATAATGTCTATGTGTTAAATGCAATGTTAAATAGATGAGTTTTGACTAGGCGTTCAAAACATTCCAGCGACTTTTCACATCGAATATGACTAGGTAGCTTATTCCATAATTTTGGGGCAGCTGATGAAACAGTTCGATCGCCAAGTGTAGCCAACGTTTTTACTGATGGTGGCTCAATTAACATTTGGTTACCAGAGCGCAGACTGTACCGATTAGGTCTCTTTAATGTGACTTATTGGTATCGTTACTCGTCATAATGGTATCGTTACTCGTCATAATGGTATTGTTACTCGTCATAATGGTATCGTTACTCGTCATAATAGTATTGTTACTCGTCATAATGGTATTGTTACTCGTCATGTTGTTATCGTTCCTCGTCATAATCACAGAGGGCGTGGCAATAAATCGCCCGAAGGCAATAAATATTAATTTGATGCAATATTTAGCGGTAGTAGTAATCATTGGAACCAGTGGCGTTTACAAATGCGTTCGCGCTCAGGCTCTCTCATAATATTATATTGCTTCGTTAGCTTCATCTCGTATACGGATGGTGATAATTAGTCAATTATATCTTCGTCCCATAAAACGCTAGATTATCTACATTGTCACTCAATTTGTTGATTGAGGCGGTTTTGTTAGCTGTGCCGGCTACATAATGGAAATTCCTCGTTGCATATATGGGTTTTAATGGAATTTCGCTATATAATAGAAGTTTTGAAATGAAAAATGAAATTTAATGTTTGTTGTCATACTCGCACGGAGTTATCGCTGGGTGGCAATAAATATTTAGTACCGAAACGATTTACCGCCGCGTTTAGATCGCATTGTATTGGGGTATGCAAGGCCGTGGCATGCAGTTACTAACGTCCGTCTACCACGGAGAAGTGGGACGGGATGGCTAGACATCGCGTGCATGAGCTTACTGAGATTACTGGCACAGGATCGCAAAAGGTGTTTGGAGTCATTTTTACATAAAAGGTGATTGCCGGAATAATTAAACAGAGTGAAGTGGGTATTCAAACACGGTCACGGTAGGAGGAGAGTAGAACGCCGAGAAAATGTTCGGATTTGAACATAGGATGGTATGAGTACGAAAAGAACGGAGGCGGAGGAGGGATTACGATAAAAGACAGTAAAAGATAGATGTGCAGGTGGGGCAGGGCAGGGATGAAAACGGACGAGGAAAACGAATGGAGTGAAGTAGAAGACGGACGAAGATGGGCAAGGAAGAAATAACAATAATAACAGCAACACCCTGAACCGCGGTACTGTGTCTGACGTGAGACTGCGTTGTCAGCAGATGTGAAACGGGGGGAATCTGTAGCCAAAACCTTCACTAAAGTTTTAGCCCAAATCAAAATTACAAGTTGAATATGTTGGGAACTTTTGTAACTAGCAACTTCTCACGAGCAGTAGGCATTTTTGTTCGATCAATAATTAGGCCATGCCCGCTACACGCAGCATCACTCGACACGTTGCCAAACAAGGTGATTGCAATGACGGACTAGCACAGCATCTCAACGTGCTACTTCCGACTCAACGTGCTGCTTCCCCTCGACATCACCTGGTTATGTTAACATCAGGCGTAAGTAACATCGACAGACTTTGTACTGCCTAATTGGTTTTAGTCAGCTGAATGGGAATCGGAGAAAATGATCGGAGACTGGTTCAATTTTCCAAAAATCTTATTTCATAAGGCATTTTTGAGGAAAAGCAAACAAATAGGTTTTTCTGGAGCGGATTTTCGTGCTGAATATGAAAAAATTGTTTGTGTTTTCCAAATTTGTCTAATTAGGTTACTAATTAAAGTCAAAGGTCAATTAGTGCAAAATTCATATTTTTTTACAAAATATGTTTTCTTTCCCCTCCTAAATACAGATCTGAAAACAATTTTTCAATATCTTTCATAATAAATGCTACACAATTCCGCAAAGTTTAGAAATTAAGGGAAAACATTAAAGAAGTATTCACTTCATTTGCAAATATCTCCTTAACGGTTGGACTTTCTTTTTTTGCCATATTGGTTTGGTTTCATATAGATTTTGTTACCAATTACCAGGGTTGTCTAGCCTCTCTATATCTGTGGTTCATGGGGACAGGGTTATTATGTTTGTATTTCATATTTTTGTTAATTAGCTTGCTAATTAAAGTCAATGGTCAATTAATGCAAAATACGAATTTTCATGAAATTTGTTTAGGCTCGTTTTGTCCTTCCCTATACAAATATCCAAGGTTTTTTTTTTACTTTTCCTTATATAAAACAGTAATCATGCAATAAATATTTGAATTAAATGGAAATGTGAAATATGTGAAATGGAAAAGGCATTTAAAAAAAATTGTTTGTGTTTGCCAAATTTGCCTGATTAATTAACTCATTAATTAAGGACAAAAGTCAATTAGTGCAAAACTTCAAAACATGTTTTATTTAACCACCTTAATATAAATATCAAAGTCATTTTTCAATATCTTTCATATTAGGCTTTAGACAACCTATCAAATATTCAAAATAAATGGAAAACATGA